CCCGCGCCGGGAAGGGGGGGGGGGGGGCGGGGCCGTGCCTGCCGCTGTCGTGATACGGCGCTGCATGTCGCCTCTGCTCCTGCGGGAACAACAACCACGAGTAGAGGGAAAAAGAGGGCGCGAGATGGCGAAGCAGCAGCGCGACGGCTCTGGAGCGGCGCTGGCTTCTCGGGGGAGGCCTCTGGGCTCCTTTGGGGTCTCACCAGCCCCTCTTCATCTTCATCTTCCCCACCCCCCCTCCTCCTCCTCGCGAGATTGTGCCGGGAAAATGTCAGGCCCTCTGTGTCCATGTTGCAGATCTCTTGTCCCCTGGGTAGGGAATGTAGTGTCCCGGGAAGGATTTAACTTGCCCTCTGCCACGTGCGACAGCAGGGCTGCCTTATGTAGCCCTTCGTTGAGCTTTAGGGAAACTGAAGTTCCCTGCTGACCAAAATTTTGAGCGCTGGAGTTATCTCATCAGGTCATCGCAGAGTACCTGCTCGCAGAGTGGAAGATTCACATAGGAAAATGTAGTTGGAGTAAGCTATATCATTAAAAAATAGGTATGTTTTCTGTACAGTTTAATGTGTTATGTTCCTGTGACTCCTCCTCTGCAGGTGTGAGCAGTTGGAAAAAACTATACTAAAAGTATGCAAAATCACAAGATTTTATTTACATACCAGTTAAATAACTAACTGTTAGCTAGATAACTGAACTACCCCCATAAACCAAGGACTATTTTTATCTCCTGTACATAGCCAGTCCTATTGTAGTATCAGGGATCTGTAAGGACTGAAGTTCCAAAAACAGGAGAAGAAGGATTCTCCTGTCATGTTTCATGAGTGACAGAGGTGCAGTTCGGTTTCCAGCTTTGCTCTAGCTTAATTTTAGTGTGACCTTCCTCTGAGTGACTGTGGAGGGGTGGCTCCTCAGTGTGTGGAACCTTTCAGCATCATGCATTGAAATAAAAGACTCTGTAGGATGGGTACCACAAGAGGTTCCTTCTAACTGTTTTTCCCCAAGTTATTTCATTACGGCAAAAGTGTGAAGAAGCTAAGTGCAGTTTGAGTCTGACACTTGTAGTGTGTGCTGCAAATCGTGACCTCTTTTACCTGACTTGGTAGATGGAGAGGAGTGGTAGAAGGCAAAGGTGCCAGGGTCGTGTGAGGGATGCGGGCAGGTTTGGGGTGCTCCTTCCAGCAGGTGCCCTAAAGCACCAGATCATCAATGCCACCTTTGGTGTGTAGCCTCCCTCTCCCTCTACCACACCAGTACCTCCTGTGGGCACTAGGAATCCAAGCCCTTCTGTTGGCAGAAAAAAGACCCAGAGCCCAATTCTTCAGGATCAAAGCCTTGTAGACAAAAAAAAAAAAAAAAAGTGCTTTGAGAAGTTTTGCAGTTTAAATTGACTATGAAGGAAATGTGAGCACTATATGACAGACAGTGCCCTCCAGAAAGAGAGAGTCCATGGGGTACTCGCTTGCTAACAGATGTATGTCCCATGTATGTTTGGTTTTGAAACCGAAAACCCCTTGAATTCCAGTCCAGTCTCTTAGTTGCAGAAATTATGTTGATCACATTGATTACTTACTTGCATTAATTATATTGTCACATTAGTAAAGATTATTTGGAATTTTAATTATTATTTTTTTTAACTAGGAGGAGCAGTAGATGGTCTTACATGCGTATATCAGTCTCCCACTTCCATGGGAGTGGTGCATGACATGTGGTTTTTGGTCTTGAGAGAAGCATGTGCCAAGGAATGTGCTCTCAGCTGCAAGAGGAGAGCAGGAATTATCTGAGGTGCTTTTAAAACTCACAGGTTCTTTCCTGAATCAGCACTTCCCTGTGGTGGAAACTCACTTGGGCAGCAAGTTTAAAGCTGATTTCTGTAGTGCAGGGCTGAAAGACTTAAGGTTTCCATAGCTGTCCGCCCTTGGCTTTATCAGTCTTACCAGTAGCTCATTGATTTGTGGGGTTTTTTTTTTTTTTTGAGCTTTCCATGCCTTACTGGGCTCACACAGCTCTGCGTGTGACACAGGGCAATGGTTTCCAAAGCCGGCCGCGCAGGATGTAGTTGGATGAGGAGGCGTGTGTAGTTGGATGTAGCTGGATGAGGAGTGTGAAGGAGATCCTGCCGAGCTGCCCCTTGTGTGGAAGGAGAACACAGGTGGGGAGTGTGGAGCCAGTGCCCTGCATTAAACTACATGAAGTCCTGAGCTGCTGGGTCTGGCCTCACAGGCCACCCTGCTTGGAGCACAAGGCAGGACTAGAGGCCTTCTGAGGTCCCTTCTAACCCCAGCAAGCCTGTTGATCCCAATGGAAATAAGAGGCTGACAAGTAAGAAATCTTTTGCAGGAAGTGACATCGAGGAGTCAAGAGTTGAAATGCAGTTTGTAAGGATTGTTTTTAACAACTTTGAGTTTGGGAAATCCTGCTCTTGAGGATTTGATAATGTCAGTGTATCCTCCCTGTGGGTAGAGCAAGCAGCAAAATCATGATTGCATGAAATACAGAAAAGACAACAAAAAGAGAGTAACATTGTTTTGCTTCTTTTCCATGTGATACAGCAAATGTGATTCTTGATTAAACGGGTAAGGAACTTCTCTTGGAAAAGTGCTTTTCCTGTTTACAGTCACTGAGTGGAATTATCTGTAAGGACTCTCCAGCTTCCAAACAGACCCCCAAACCATGTATAATACAAGCAGAAGTTTCGAACAATAAAACATCTGTACTCTCCACTTTGTTCTGGAAATGTTATCACCCAGCAAGGGTATGATACTGATTTCTATCCTCAGTGTACATTAAGGAGAGACTCGAGCTGTGTGCCCACACATAAATGTGGAGTAGCTGGAAAGATCCATGCAGCTGTGAAAGATGAAGTGTGGAAGATCCTTGTAATTAGTGTTGCTTCTGTCTGGATGCTAAATGTAGTCTGAACAGTCTGAAACTGACATTGCTTTCCTCAATTTTAGATTGAGATTTACTTCTTCCATTATAATTAAGCTAAAACACTCCGTAGATACCTCTTTTCTTCTCCAGCCTGCAGTTTTCCTGGTTTGTGTTCTTCCTTCCTGTTTTCTACTTCACATCTTAAACCTTTTTGTATTAACAAGTTGATTCTGTTTTAGGATAATGGCAGGAAAAGTGAAGTGGGTAACTGATATAGAAAAATCTGTTCTGATAAACAACTTTGAGAAGAGAGGCTGGATTCAGGTGGCAGAAAATGAAGACTGGAATTTTTATTGGTAAGTGTGTGCATTAATTTGTGGAGTATTTTAATACGCTATGCTAATACCATTAGTAATATAGCAAAATGCATATTTAAAAATAAAAGATGCACAAATTAGCATTAATTTAGTGAAGTGCTCCTAAGACTGTAGCATTGTTTCATTGCCCCTGTAATTTCTTCTAGCATTTATGGTGCTCAGTTCAGATGTATACGGGTAGAGTCCTGCATCTGTGCAGGCCTGCTGAAGTCATTAAGATTCCTCAGGGTACAAGGTCTCCTATCTGCATGGATCCATTCCCATGCTATTAACCTCAGATATCTTTGCAGTTTGCCAAAGGTTTTGAGAGAGAATGGAGAATCACTGCCCTATCACAAGGCAAATCACTTTGAGGAGTAGGATTTATTTTAAGAAAAAACAGACAAACAAAAACAAAAAGAGAAGGAGAAAGGCTGTATTTTCTGTGGCTTCCGTTTGTCTGTTGATTTGTTTGTGTGTTGTTGTTTGCTTGCTTTTAATGTGATAACTTGATTTCATTCAAACTTATTGTACATAGGAAGTAGAGTTTTTCTGCTGTTGTTGGAGGGAGTTTATGGCCTGAGGAATCTTTGCATGTGTCTTTCCAAAGCTTTCCAGCAATATAACATAGGCAAGAGGATCCAAGAATACAAGGTTGCTGTATATAATACTCCTTTATCAAATTGACAGAGACTTGCCCTGTTAGCAGAGTGCAATCTCTTGTAACAAAGACCTCAAGAATTGTCCATTTTGTCCTCTTTCATGATATGGACAACTTATATGGAGACTAATTATTCAACCTCTCAGTACTTAAAGTGAATGGTAGAATTTAAGTAAGACCATGGTGAATATAGGAGAATAAATAACCTGCCTTTTTATTTGGTGCAATATTCCCTTAAAATGCAGTAGTCTACTAAAGATAAGGCAAACTAATATTTATTTAAATCGAGCAATTTGTCTTTTCTAAATACAGCAGAATGGCAGCTTGTGCTGCAAAATTCATATGTATTACTAACAACTGATTTAAATTGGTAGGAATCTGGTAATCTGATCATGCTTTTGGAATGTGGTTGGGTGGAGGTGTGGGGAAACAGGTCACTCATGGAAACTCTTGTGTGACTGTTATTTCATTATTTCTTTTTTCCTAAAATAATAATGTAGCAGACTGGAAATGTAAGAAAATTTCCTGAATGCCATCAATGTCAAAGCTCTTATACAGAAATTCTACGTATCCATGGCTCTGCTCTTGGAGAGAAATGATTTGATGACTTCTCACTGTAGTGCTCTGGTCTGGCATTTACTGCTGTTCTTTTTAAGAACTCTGAATCACACTACTCAGTGAGTGTGCTTGAAATCTTTTAGAATCCATATAGCAGATAGTGAGTAGGAGGTTGTTTTAATGACTCTTTTTTTCTTTCAAGAAAAGCTGAGTGTTTCAGGGAGTGAAGTAATAGATTTAGAAAGATGCTGCTGTAACATTTGAGGGCCTGTTAGTCTCTTTTAGGCCGTGCTGGGTGTTGACCGTAATGTCAACAATCTGATAAGAGCCAAGGTGTCAGATGCCTTTTCTCACCACCTGCCCCAAATTCAGCGGTAGTGGACGGATCAATCAAACCTGTGGCATAATTCAGTTTTCGTAGCATAAATTTGGAGTATGTTGGATTGTCACTGCAGCAAAGCATTATACCATACAGAGAAATCCTAAACAGAGAGAGAAAAAAAATGATGTGTAAATAACAAATAATAGAAGTTTCAACTTTGTCCTCGAGCGTTGTGTTTCTTGAGAGGACTTCCTTGACATGTGTTGTTTCTTTCAGGATGAGTGTACAAACGATCAGGAATGTTTTCAGTGTGGAAACTGGCTACCGCCTTTCCGATGACCAAATTGTCAATCATTTCCCAAACCACTATGAACTGACCAGGAAGGATTTGATGGTAAAGAATATCAAGCGATACAGAAAGGAACTTGAGAAGGAAGGGAGTCCTCTTGCAGAAAAGGATGAAAATGGGAAATATATCTATTTGGGTATGTAGTTCTCGTTATCATCATTAATAGTGTTTCCTGCGTGGTCAATAACCTGTTGGCCTTGCCTGTGGCTTATTTTACCCCACAAAGTTCATGCACAAATGCAGTAGTAGGACAGCACGTTAATGTACAAATTAGAATAATTTGCATCTTGGTGCTTCAGTGCAAGCGGTAAGAGTGCTGGCAAGAGAGCAGGCGATGGAAGTTGTCTGTTTTCACAAGCTGCTTTTGGAGATCCTATCTAAAACCAATATGTATATGAATCATCACTGGAAAGTAATTCAGTCAGAGCCCAGCTCTTCTTTTTTTTTTTGTTCCCCCAGAGGAAATGAAATTGAATTAACTCTTCTGTGTGTAAAGCTCTAAAGCTTTAATGTGTTGGAGTATTTAAGTGACTGTCTTCAAATGCTTTGCCACTTACTGTCAATTAAATATAAAGTATACTCAATACTATTTTTTTGCTTCATTCTGCAAATATAAGAGCCTTCTTCCCACTCCCACTGCCCTTTTCCTCCTCTTCCTTCCTCTCAAATCTATCACTAGAGCTATAAAAGAAGCACTAGGAAAGGCAGAATGATACAAATAGTAAAAGTGAATATTTCCAATGGAATGTAACATCTTCAGATCTCTTCACAAACCTAGCTTGAGGAGGTAATGGCTAATAACTGACAAATTGAGAGAAGTAGAGGGGGTGGAACTTGCTTAAGAACTTTTTTGAAATTAGACACAAATCAGCAAAAAAGATTAAGCACTTCTGTTTCCCTGTCGTGTCATCGCAGCAGGGCAGGCTGCTTCTTCAATTGTGTGATTAGTACTAGTCAGTAGTACACACAGAGGAGCACAAATCCAGTTTATAAGTATGACCTGTTTTTGTGAATAGTGAGGTCCTTAAAACAATTTATGCTCATTAATACAACATCAACTGCAGTGATCATGAAATGATTGTTTTAAATGGAAGGATATACTGAAATAGTTTTATTCCTAGGCTTTTATTATTTTTAAGAGGGAAAATCTGGAAGTAAGGTACTTAGCAGTAAGATTGGAGATGAAACTGAAAGACTCTGGAGAAAAATATTCAGAAAAGAGTTGGAGTTTCTTTAATTCAAAGGTGAAAAAAATGCGCCTAGAAACTCTATACTGGAGCAAAAACTAAAATAAAACTTTTGCATGAAGGGTATGGACAGAACTGAATGAACAAATTCTTCGGAAGAAAAATTCAGGAGAAGCTGGGGATCAAGTCATGACTACTAGAAAATGAAATCAGAAAAATCATAGGGAGAGGGAAAAATTGTCTTGGAGTTCAAAAAGTGCTGAAATGAAATAAAAGTGAGGACATGCTAAAGTATCTTACATCTTGAAAAAGTGAAATTAAAAGTTTGTTAGCAATGTGAAAATGAAGCAATGCTGTAAGGATGGGACTGAGAATAATCTCACTGCAAAGAGTGAGAAATAGTCTTTCCTCAAATTCCAGTAATTACAGGAACACCGACTATAGCAGTAAATGACTAATGGGAGGTAAACATGGATTTAAAAATTACCACCTGCATAGTTGAAGCAAGATCAACATTTGGATTTTTGCATGCACAAGTGATGAGATTCTTTGAAGGACTGTGAAAGTTGATACACAGAATTGAGAAAGTTTGCCTATGAAAATCAAGTTGCAGTGGTATGATGCTCTCTACAGCATTTAAACAGATTTAAACAGAAAAAAAAATACTCAGGTGTGTTAGGGTCTGAAGCTAGTGTCATGTAATAATGGCCAGTTATTTGTTTCAGTAAAAATTACAAACTTGGAGTTAAATAACATAAGGGACAATATGAGTTTTACTGAAATCAGGTCATGCCAGACTAGAAAAGTGGAAAGCAGCAAAATATTTTCAGTCTGTATGTTTGGATATCAGAAGTTGTATCCTTAATTTTGCT